AATTAGATTTTGATTGAATTGAAACATAGTTTTTACTAGTTGCAAGTGTGCGTACTTGTGTTGAGTTTGGTGGATTCTAAACTCGGAGCTCTTGTATCGATCAAAAACGCGTTACAAAGAGGTATCCCTTATTAATACTTATTTTCGAAACTTCACAAACTCTACGTATTATTTTAGACTTTGAACTTCTAGTTTTTATTTTTAAATTAAGGTAAGGGTTAATTATTATTTTATGTCATTTGCTATTGCAAGTTAACAAACATACCCCTATATATATATTTTTGCACTTTTGTGCCCCTTTATTATTGCAATGTAACAAACGTACTCTTCTGTCAATATTTTTATTGACTATATCTCCCGTCTATAACTCTGGTGCCAAGCTTGTCCTCCAATGTCCAACAAGCGTTCAATGAGTGTCGATGGCTGTCTGCTTCTCCTTGTTGCACCTCTGCCATCGCCAGCTCCTTGTTTTTGCAGCAACAAGTCGACAACCCTTCTACTCTACTCCTCCCAACTCTTCTTCGACACTAAGACTCAATTGATAGAGGATTTAACTCAAAACAAACGTAGAGCAAATCAAAACTGCAGCAAACCAAACTCGGATGGTTTACGCGTGAGTCCATGGGAAGAACAAATAAATTCCTCTTTTTTCTCTCTCTCTCTCTCTCTCACATTATACTGATTACGGAGGAACAGTTTGTCACTCAATTTATGAAGATTAAGGTATACTAGATTAGAAGCCCGTGCTTTGCCACGGATGTTTATAGAGAAAACCTCCACTAATGCTTGCCTTTCAATGTTTAGGAAGGGAGACCATCTACCCAAAGGTTAATCACAGTCTACTGTAAAAAAAAAAAAAAGTTAATCACCATTTCATTCTAATTCATGACTTGCACTACCAGATCGGGGAGATTATATTTATTTAAAGATGAAAAGTAGAATGAAAAGAAAATTAGTTTAAGATCATAAAAACTCTGAAGCTAAGATAAAACTTGATCCCTGCATCGGAAGATGAGAACTTGCAAACATCAATCCAAGCCAAAGCGTAGAGTACACATATAAGAGCCAAACGAAAATAGTAAGCCAGTGCAACACATCGTGAAAAAACAAAAATAGTAATTAGAATTACAAAACTAAGGAAGAAAATGCATGCATGAATAGATACATTCATTCTTAACACTTATTTATGCAGAAGACAATACAAAGTTTTGACTCTCACATGGATCAGTTTCAGCTTTCATGTTGCTGCTTTCCCGCCTAATCAGTTGGCTTCATATCATTCAGAACCCAATGATTTGAAGTAATTCTCACAATAAGCATATTAGAAAAAGAAGGGGGGGGGGAACTCTTAGTTTGACCCAAAGCAGATCACGAACTGTAGATGCTAAAAGAAGAGAATTGCTTGAAACTTTCTACATTATCAATTGAGAAATTTACAACTAAATAGTATCCATCAATGTCCAACAACAAACCACATTCGAGCTATCAGTGTGGAGTAGAGCTGACATACATGTGTTCCACGTTCTGATATAAATCTCCAGCATGCTTTTCATGTTCAGTGCAAAAAGCAATGTTCAGTGCAAAAAGCAAGAATCAACAAAAACAAAAGAGACATACATATCAAGATTGGTGGCAACACATTCAATTTAAAACCAACGTTAATCTGAAACCCACTATGATTCAATTCCATTGTACCCCAAGATGCCATAGGTCTTCCAAAATCAAGAGAAGTCGAGGGCATGTAGGGAAAAGCAGCAAACTAAAGCAGATGAAGAAGAGAAAACAACAGGTAGCCATTACCTGGAGCCTGGACTGGAGGAGCAAAGAAAAACAAAATGAGCCTAAGGTCCAAAAGACCAAAAAAGAAACACTTAAGTTATCATCTGCTTTTCTTATTCTGCATAAAAAATGATAAATCGATACCAACCGTTAAAAACCTCAGAAGTGTTTGTGAAAAAGTACTGTTGCAATGGTGCCAATCTCATCAAAAGAAATTGACTTTGTTAATCTCATGAGATCGATAACTTCCCTAGCTCTACCAACCTCTTCTCTGTTGTGATATTATATGGTAACTTGTAGGAAACCTACTGCAATGTCCACCTTTGCATTATAACACCAACAACTACGATTAAATATGAACAAATAATAGGGAAAGTAAGAATACCAATCTAATCACACATGCAGGAACAAAAAAACAATACCTCCTGTATAATTATGCAGATGCACAAATCTCAATATCAACATAACTCAAACTAACAAATGAGAACACTTGGATTCAATTCCCTAGCATGTATCACTATCAAACTAAAAAAGTTGGGGGTTTACCATTTCCCTAGAACTCTATCATCATAAGAAGATATATGAGAATTTGATCTATAAAGCCAATCTTAATAAGAATTTTCATAGCTTGGTTTGATTGGAAGTCGAATAAGTTAACTCAATGTATAGGGATCTTTCACTGGGCTCTTGCCACCCTCCACAATGAGTCTCATATCATATCAAATCCATGAATAAATTGGGTTCAATCTCAAATCACTGGGCTCTATTCACTGATCTATATACTTGTGTTCATTCAGCCAAAGGGTGAAAAGCAATAGTGTTGTCAAAAGCATTGTCAATTTAATTATTAGAAATGAAATGAATCAGTAAATCATATCTATGAACAAATTGGGTTTGAACATTAGCTATTTGCGGTAAATGAACAAAAAGTAAATCCATGAACAAAAAGTCAGGGGAGCTAAATCCAAGTTGTTGACTCACCTAATTCCAGTAATGGATGTCGCCGCTAGGAGATTCTCCAGGTTCCAATGGACAAAAAGAGTCATAGTTGGGCCAATCTTCGGCAGAGTTCAGTGGATATGGAACAACTTTGCGGCGACCTTCTTGTCGTCTTCTTGAAGTATGGAAGAAATTGAGAAGGGCAAGAGGCTTGGCTCGTAGGAGACAGATTGAAGGAGCTGCAGCGAGGGTTTCAGCTCAAGCTTAATTAAATCGAAGGAGGAAAGGAAAGTAAAATCCGGAGAGAAAAGAGAGGTCGAGATGATAGAGGAGGGGATGCGGCAATCACTTTCCTTTTCGAATGCTACCGACCGCCAAATCTGGGAGTCTCCTCTTAAATCCTTGAATCGCAGCCAACGCCGCCGCTGAGATCTTTATTTTGGTCTTTCAATTTTGCGCGTGGAGAAGAAGGAACGGGGAGAGAGAATGATAGAAAAAAAAATCAGGAGAGAGGAGGTTTAGCGATATGGATCCACCGGTCCGACAATAAAGATCCAATGGCTATTGCTAGGCCAGCCCAAAATGATTTCACTTGGGATTAAATAAAAACGACAACATCGTATCTATGCAACTAACATGAACAGTAACCTCCGATTTTTTCTTAATGAACTGTAACTCCGATTTTTTTGGAACTTGAGACTTAATAATTCTAATATCGACGCGTTGGTCTATGCGATGAAAGGAATTGGTGGTGAGTAGACTTCCACTTCGGTATAAATTGGGGAAATGCCTAAAATAGTAATAAATTAAAGAGTTAAATAATTAGTTCATTTTTAATGTTGAAATATTTATATTATATGTTAAATGAAGGTTTAAAAAGGCGTTAGACGTAAGGCGGACGTTGAAGCTTTGTCTAGAGCCTAGCTCGTTTAGGCCTAAACTAAGCGTGCCCAGGTGTAGGTGTTGGAAGAAAAATAGTTATTCGCACTGCACTATGAATGAAATTATGATCTACAACACTTCATCACTTTAGTTAAAATGATTAATAACTTACTCAACACTTAATGACAAGAATGTAGGTCACAAATTCATAGATTCATAGCTCGATAGCGCACAAAGTTCTTGAGCTATTGAAATATTGATATAGAAAATTGATTTTGTAGTTGACGTTAATTTTCTCTTTTAATATTGCCTTCCTAGCTCCATTTAGTAATGTTTAGAAGAGACTTATATGTCGCCTTACTCCATTGACGTGTTCCAGTATCTAATTAGGTGTGAAATCCCTAAGCGATAGCTCACAAAGTTCTTGAGCTATTGAAATATTGATATATAAATTTGATTTTGTAGTTGACGTTAATTTTCTCTTTTAATATTGACTTCCTAGCTCCATCTAGTAATGTTTAGGAGAGACTTATATGTCGCCTTACTCCATTGACGTGTTCCAGTATCTAATTAGGTGTGAAATCCCTAAGCGATAGCTGAAAAAGTTCTTGAGCTATTGAAATATTGATATAGAAAATTGATTTTGTAGTTGACGTTAATTTTCTCTTTTAATATTGACTTCCTAGCTCCATCTAGTAATGTTTAGGAGAGACTTATATGTCGCCTTACTCCATTGACGTGTTCTAGTATCTAATTAGGTGTGAAATCCCTAAGTGAGGCGTTTTACCATTGCCTTGCGTCTAGGCGTGCCTAAACGTAAGGTTAAGCGTGCTTTTTTGAACCATGAGTTAAATAGAGCAAGGATTGAAATATCGTACCGAAAAAGTCAGCGGTAGGGTATTTTATGCTGAAACAGTGGTTTAACCATGCTTCAACCGTATTATACCGCTAAATACCGCCTACCGATTTTGCTTCCAGTAGGAGGTTTTTCAGGTCGAACAGCCGGTACAGTATTTTAATCCTTGAAATAGAGGGGTATTATAGTCAATTCATGTCATTTACGGGTCAGCGGCTAAAATATTAACAGAGGATACGTTGTTACATTGCCATGATAAAGGAACACAAAAGTGCAAAAAATAATAATAAAGAGACATGTTTGTTAACATTCAATAGTACAATAGCATATACTATTAGATACCGAAAAGAGCATATGCTATTAACTCTTAAATTATATTAAACAAAATTCCCGTGTATCCTTACAAAATAAATAATTAAATAAATAATAAAAAACCAAGAGAGGTTTCGATCGACCACCTCATCAATCTGGTTGGCTTTCGTTAACGAGGTGAACGTTTGTTAATCACCTACAAAACCTTTTTGTTTTCTTTTCGCGTCTCTAACTAAAATAATTTCTTTTCCTTCCTTCCCGTGTGTTGTTCCACTTCTTCATCCCCAACCCTTCCCCTTCCCTCGATCCTTTCTCCCCTTCACTTTCCTGGAAATTCAGAAAAAAAAAATTTAAAAACTCAAAGGAAAGGAAGGATATAAGGGGGAAATCCCAACAACACAATTAGCTTAGCCTGCATCTACCGTCGTCTTTGCCTCCTTTCTTTCTCCCTTTTCCTTTTATTCCTGGCAAACGGTGGTTTTTGCAGGCTCGACCATCTATTTTCCATTGTTTTCATTCAATTCCAGCTACATTTTGAATTAACAAGAACCAAGAAGGATTAAATTTGGGTTCTTTTCTCATGGTTCCAGGTACCCAGAATTGGAGATCTTTGAAATAAAAGAGTTTTGGGATTTTTTTTAATCTTTCTGGGGAGGATTTTTTTTCTCTCGTTTGTTTCCTTTCTCTTTGGAAATATGCAGCACAATATATTCACCTCAATACGTAGCTTGAAGTTCATAGACGGATGTAAAAGCCAAGTTTATGCCCTTCATCATTCTAGTGCCGGCAGCTCCGCCGATGTCGGGCCTACGCCATCTTGCGGCGGCAGCGTCGGCGAGAAGTTTCTTCACCACCTTCAAGAGCTTCGAGCGAATCCCAAACCTGCTCGGAACATGTTACCGCCCCCGAGTCATCATCCCACGACGAGCATCACCGTTGACAATCTTCTCCCTCGAGGTCTCCCCGAAACCGATATCCTCGAGCCACAAATTGAGCCCTGCCTCAAGCCCTTGGATATGGTGGAATCCCTTGCCGATTTGTATCGTAGGATTGATAAATCCCCCGAAGCGGAAAAATCTGGGTTGTATCTGGAGCAATGCGCTTTGTTCCGAGGTTTCCCAGATCCCAAGATGTATAGGCGGAGCCTCCGATCTGCTCGACAACATGCTATTGATGTACATTCAAAAGTTGTGCTGGCCTCGTGGTTGAGATTCGAGCGGAGGGAAGATGAGCTCATCGGCACCTCGGCGATGGATTGCTGTGGGAGGAATATGGAGTGCCCCAAGGCTTGCCTGAAACCTGGCTATTGTCCAGAATCTGCTAATGATCGATGTGCATGCTTGCAGTCTCCTATACCATTCTGGGATAGGAACATTTCAATGATGGACGAGCAGGAAGAATGCTTAAGCCCTGATGAAGATGCTGATATGTCATTCTGCATTGGCAACGAAGAGGTCAGGTGTGTTAGATACAAAATGGCTTCCCTATCAAGACCTTTTAGAGCGATGTTGTATGGAGACTTCAATGAATCAAGAAGAGAGAAGATAAACTTCTCCAAAAATGGAATATCCGCACAAGGAATGAAGGAAGCGGAGGTTTTCAGTCGAACTAAGAAGTTAGATTCTTTTGATCTCCCCATGGTTTTGGAGCTTCTCTCATTTGCCAACAGATTTTGCTGCGAGGAAATGAAGTCAGCTTGTGATGCTCATTTGGCATCTCTTGTCTCTGACATGGACTTAGCACTATTGCTGGTTGAGTATGCATTAGAAGAGATGGCTTATCTTCTAGTTGCAGCTTGTTTACAAGTGTTTCTAAGAGAGCTTCCTAGCTCAATGCACCATAATTACGTGATGAAGTTATTCTGTAGCTCACAAGGTAAAGAGAGTCTCGATGCCGTGGGCCATGCCTCTTTTCTCCTCTATTACTTTCTCAGCCAGATTGCTCTAGAGGATGACATGAAATCGAATGCCACAGTCATGCTTTTGGAGAGGCTATGTGAGTCTGCAACGGAAGTTTGGCATAAGAAAATTGCCTATCATCAATTAGGGGTGGTTATGCTCGAGAGGAAAGAGTATAAAGATGCTCATAAATGGTTCCATGCGGCAGCTAGTGAAGGTCATATTTATTCGTTACTTGGTGTTGCGAGGTCCAAATTTAAGCGCGGACACAAGTATTCAGCGTACAAGGTGATGAGCTCGTTGATCTCCGATCATAAGCCAACTGGGTGGATGTATCAGGAGAGAGCCATGTATTGTAGTGGGAGAGAGAAGCTATTGGATTTGGAGATGGCAACTGATTTAGATCCATCTCTCAGTTTTCCATACAAGTACAGGGCTGTTTCGTTGGTGGAGGATGACCAACTTGGAGCTGCCATCTCGGAATTAAACAAGATCATTGGCTTCAAAGTCTCGTCCGACTGTCTCGAGCTAAGGGCTTGGATATCTATCGCATTAAATGACTACCAAGTTGCACTTAGAGATGTTCGGGCACTTTTGACAATAGAACCGAACTATATGATGTATAATGGAAAGATGCCTGCGGATCACTTGGTGGAGCTTCTTCAACCGATGGTTCAACAGTGGAATGACGCTGATTGTTGGATGCAGCTCTATGATAGATGGTCCGCGGTTGATGACATAGGCTCCCTAGCTGTGGTGCACCACATGTTGGCAAATGATCCTAGAAAAAGTTTGATACGTTTTCGACAATCTCTTTTGCTTTTGAGGTAATAGCATCTCTCTTACTCTTCTTCTACCTTTACATGTTTTTCTTAAGCTTCCCATTTGACACTCATTTTGTCTATATCATCTATAGGTTGAACTGTCAGAAGGCAGCCATGCGGAGTTTGAGGTTAGCTAGAAACTTTGCTTCTACGGAGCATGAAAGGCTAGTCTACGAAGGATGGATTTTGTTTGACACAGGACATCGTGAAGAAGCATTAGAGAGGGCTGAGGAGTCTCTTTCAATCCAAAGATCATTTGAAGCATTTTTCCTGAAAGCTTATATATTATCAGATTCACATCTTGACCCCGAATCAATAGCTCATGTTGTTCAACTAATGGAGGAAGCTCTTACATGCCCGTCAGATAACCTTCGGAAGGGACAGGTAAAGAGCATATTCTTCCCTTTTCCCCTTCCAGAGATCGCACTACAATAAAGAATGTTTAGTAAGAAAAATTTTGGCTATGTTGTGGCAGGCATTTAATAACCTGGGCAGCATATATGCTGATTGTGAGAAGTTGGATCTTGCTACCGATTGTTTCACGAGAGCACTTTCACTCAAGCACACCAGAGCTCATCAGGGTCTCGCACGTGTTTTTCATCTGAAAGAAAATGAAAAAGCTGCATACGAGGAGATGACAAAACTTATAATGAAAGCCAAAACCAGCGCCTCAGCTTATGAGAAACGTGCTGAGTATTATGGTCCCAATGAAATTAACATGGCAAAGAATGATCTTGTCATCGCCACCCAACTCGATCCACTACGTACACATCCATATAGATGGAGAGCAGCAGGTTGATATGTTATTGGGTTAACTTGATTTTTTGTTTACTATGATGTATCCTCCTATTATAGAGTTGTTGTAAACAGATTGAGTTTTCTTCTGAGCTTTTGCAGTTCTGATGGATGATCACAAGGAATCTGAAGCCATAAAGGAGCTTACAAGGGCGATAGATTTCAAGCCAGACTTACAATTGCTGCATCTTAGAGCAGCCTTTCATGATTCAATGGGTGATAATTCCTCTGCTGTTCAAGACTGTGAAGCAGCACTATGTCTTGATCCCAACTCTTGTGAAACACTCAAGCTTTATGATAGTTCAAGGGGGAAGGTGTCAAAGGAACAAGAAAAGTGATGGTCACTAGAAAGTGCCTATGCAGTTCTGGAATGATTTAGCTATGCAGAGGCAAGCAATATTAGCCGCACAGAAAGGCTTTCAACTTCTTAATGTCTTCATGTCACCACTGAGAGGTGTTAGTAAGTATACGCCAAGTCCCATATCTAGTGAGAACACTCTTACTTGGCGGGGGGTTAAATTGAATGACTGGTAGCCTTTTGTTGGACTTTTAAATTTTTTTTTTTCAAAAGAAGGGAAAAAAGAAGAGTAGGAGCAGAGATGTATACTTGTAAATATGTGTACTTCGGTGGGGGATCTCAATTTATGAAATGTGTACATGAAATGCATGATATGTTTATTTGTTGAACTACTAAAGGAAAAAAATTCCCTCTTCGGCGTAAGTTTATTTGACCATATTCATAGGGTCAGAAAACGGTGCGGACCAATACGGTCTCTGGTCCAGAACAAGAGGCTGGATTATAGACTAGAGATCAGACCATATATTATACGGTGCGGTCCAGACCACGCCGGTGCGGTCTGGTCCGATACAGTCTGGTCCAGATAAATCACAATAAGGTCGGTGGTCCAAACCGAGAGACTGTAGTATAGACTAGAGATCAGACCATATATTATACGGTGCGGTCCAGACCAAGCCAGTGCGGTCTGGTCCGATATAGTCTGGTCCGAGATAAATCACAATGAACGAAAAATGAACAATTTGTTTAGTCAACCACAAAAAAAAAAAATTGAATCATATATCGAGAAAAAAAAAGTTTTTATGCCTTAAAACATAAACTGCAAAAAGAATTTTGACACCCTAAATATCAGTAAACAACAAAAATACAAAGTCAAAGCATCCCAACTTGCTCCAACATCATAAAAATTAACATAATGTCATATGGAGACACGATCGTCTCTACTCTCTGTTCAAATGCGGTTGTGAATGAAAGAGGGATGAGTTTCTCAAAATTAGGGTTTAGACTTGGATCTCGTTGGAAGAATCGGGAGAGTGGTCGAGTGGGGTGCTAACACGTATTGGGAAGACAAATGGGTCCACGGTTTGGTGCGGTAAACCACGGTCTAAACCAGCCCAGACCAGACCAAGAGATCAAAACATCATAAAATACAGACCATAGACCAGATCAGAACATTTTTAATGATCTATGGTCCGGACCAAACTGTACGGTCTGATTTGGTTTATGATTTTTTAAACGGATCTATTTTCCCGGTACTAATGTTGCATGCGAAAAATTTGAAGATTTGACTTTAAGAAGGCATATAGACATGGAAAATCCTAGCTACTCCTAGTGAATCTGGGGTGTGCCTTTGTTTCATGGGTGACACTATCTGCACCACTCATTCATTTCCTTTTATTACGATGGTTACTATTATTTTTAGTTCAATGGGGTTTTAATGATAATACATATTGATGAATGGGTTCGGATCACCAAAATAACAAGTCAAAGAAGTAGAAATTGGAATTCATTAAGTAATTCTAACTCCTCGTTCTAAAAATAAATCTATATTATCCTTAAACCAATTATATTCATTAAACAGTTTATGGTAACTGCACATCATTGTAGCAGTTGCCGCGTGATACAAAAAATACGTCAAATGTCAACATTTTCTCTCCACAGTTCCCTCCAAACCCTTTCCCCTCTTCAGTAACGACCGCCGGCGGCAATTAGACGAGGGTTTTTGGTCGCTGCCGTCGTCGGGAGAAGAAGAGGTGTGGAGGCGGCGCGATCGTGAACGGCGATCGGGCTGAGACGACTGGCGCACGGTCGGCGAGATGGCGGAAGGCGACGAGAAGGGTTTTTGGTCGCTGCCGTCGTCGGGAGAAGAAGAGGTGTGGAGGCGGCGGGATCGTGAACGGCGAGCGGGCTGAGACGACTGGCGCACGGTCGGCGAGATGGCGGAAGGCGACGAGAAGGGTTTTTGGTCGCTGCCGTCGTCGGGAGAAGAAGAGGTGTGAAGGAGCGGCGGCAGCAGCTGTCTTCGTTCAGTAATCAGTGGGGAGGGCTGAGGGTCGAGTAGGGTTACGAAGGGAGGAGGGCAAGAGGGGCTGGATAATGAGTCTTCAAAACAAAAACAACCAAAAAAATAGATAAAATAAGGTTGCTAGGTCTCGAAGAGCAGACCTCATTAAAAATTTCTGGAGAAAATGGGAGAAAACCCGTCCTTGGCTTTTCAGGAAAACCATTTTTTTTTTGTTTTCATCAGCTGCCTCTTTTTCTTGTCAAATGGTTGCCACAAACGAAAACGAAAACCAAAGTGAACACGTTTTCTCCCTTTGTTTTTAAATTTTCTGTTTTGACAACGAAAAACAGAAAACGAAATTGAAAGTGAACAGGACCTTAGGGTTCCACGCAATTTCTCATTTATAGCGTTTTGGTTCTTATTTGAGGTTTTTGTGTCCTTTTTTATAACTGGATTTATAGTTTTTAACACACTCTCGTATTTGATAAATATTCTCCTTCTATCAATGCATCTTTAGGAGTTTTTACGTGATTTCATGTGAATATCGCAAATATTTGGTCAATGAGATAGTATTAGACATAGATTGTGTGTTTTATATCTTTTATGCATTTTTTGTATGTTTTTATGCTTAACAAGGTAAAATACAAGCTACAATAATTTAGTTCAATGCTTGGATAATTATGGGGGGGATCAATTGAACTTATATGAGAAGATTAAAGAGTTTTTTACCTACTAGACCAAGCCCAAAGAAATTTTTAGAAGGCCCACTCATCCAATGATGCTTTAAACCGACTTTTAGGAGAAAAACCCTTGAATACCCCTTTTCCATGTACTATGAATAGAGGTATAGGCTAGACCTTTAAATAGCAATCGTCTACACCAGCAATCTGCCCTAGGGGCATGAGTTAGAGATTCACAAAGAGGGGGCGAACCACTGCTGGAGTTTGACGAGGAGGCCTTCAACATTGATGCATGCATCATTGTTGATGTCTTTCTATCCTCTCATGTCTTGCTAGCTTGAGATTGTGTAAAGATGTGAATTCGATGATGAATTATGTATCTTTGTAAAAGATTTAATGAGATGCCTATGCCATTCTATGCTTTAACCATCAATGCTAGTTATTCTATTTTATACTACTATATCCATCATATATAATATCATTAATGATGTTAGGAAAATAATTTCTTGTGATATCCCAATGCCTTGTATATGTTTACTTAGTTGGATGCTATTATGTATGAATATAGGAGATCAATGCTTAATTATTAGATCATCGATGTTATAGACCATGTGTTATGGCTCAAGAGGCCCACACTTAAACATGTGCTAGCCTTACTTTCTTGTTATTAATTAGCTAAGTGATGGCATGAAGGGAAAGCACACATCAGCTAGTTATTGTTCGTTACGCATGTGGTGAAAGCACGGTTAGGAATGCACTTGCGGAAGGGATAGGGTATCATAATAGATGAGGCATTGAAGCATCTTACTAATAAGATTGTATGCATGGGTAGTTATCATAAATGGTAACAAACCTATTCACTTTGTACAAAATGGTCACAATTCTTTAATTTTGCACGTTTCGGTAAAAAAGGTTTGAGCAAATAACGAAAAGGTCAATCCGTCCAATTCCGTCCAAAACTCCGTCCCATGTCCCCCGTCAGCATACCACGACAGTGTAAATAATAATTAAAAAATGAGTAAGTTAGCCACTTTAACCCGAGCCTCCAACCGGTTGTAACAACCCTCTACCCTTCATTAATCATCTTCTGTTTCCCCCTTCCCCAGGGGTGGGCATCGGTTCGGTTCGGTCGAAACCGAACCGAAAAGATGGATACCGGGTCGGCTGCTTCCTCAAATGGCCAGACCGAACTCGAACCGGAATATAATTCGGTTTGGTTCGACCGAACCGAATTATAGACCGGTTCGGTTCGGTTCGGTGGTCAACCCGAAAAGGACCTGCTGTATGTTTGGGAATGACCTGTTGCCTCATTTTTTTAGAGGAACTGCTGGATGGTGGTGGCTGACTGGCTGTCGTGCTCTGCTCTGCTACCCCCGGCGCCGGCGGTGACTCATGGTGCAGAGATGGAGGGCGGCGACTCTCGACTCTCGAGACTCGAGTTGTTGTTGGGAGGCAGGCGTGGCGGCGACTGGAAATCAGTGATGGGAGGGCGGCGGCGACGGCGACTGAGGGTCGGGAGACGGAACGGAATGGAGTTTTGGCTGCTGGTCGCTGGAGGGTCGGGAGACGATCGATTCGAAGGAGACTGGCTGGCGGCTGCTGGAGGTGGAGGGCGAGACTCGAGAGGCAGAGAGGAGAGGCAGAGGCCGAGAGGGTTAGGGGTTGTTAGGGCTTGTTTCGGTTGGGATTGGGTCATTGGGAGGCTGGCTGCTGGGCTGGGTTTCTTCAATTGGGTTTGGGCTTGCAGCCCAGCCCTTGCCCCTTGGCCCATTACCACTTACTAGCTTATACAACATTTCGGTTTACGGTTCGGAATTCGGAATTCGGTTTCGGGCGGTACCACCATGTATTCCGAAGTAGAAGGATTTTGCATCCGAATTCCGATCCGAAATGAAGGAAATTCGGTTTCGGTCGGTTCGGGGTCGGTTCGGTTCGGTTCGGAGAGTTAAAACCGGACCGAACGCCCACCCCTACTTCCCCTTCCTTTGAATGAAGAAACCCTAAAATCCCAAATCCAAAATCAACATAAGGAAAAGAAGACTCAGGCCGAAATGGGACGACCACTATCGAGGACTCCGACGATTATGGACTAGCCATAGCCAACCACCAATCCCCCAGCTGTCTCGCGACACCCATCAGCCGATGACCAAAGGACAGACGAAGTAGTCGTTCCTCATTCCCTGAACCCTCACCAATCAATGACATCCAACTTTGAAGTTCCTCCTTCTTGATAAGTCATTCTAAATCCTAATTGCAATTTCTTTTCTAATCACCACTCCAGTTCCACTTCCAGATCGTTTATAGAAGGAGAGGAGATGAAAAAAAAAAGAAGAAAGGAGATGGTGGCCTCTCTACCATAGGCAGATGGAGACGGAATAAGATTATTAATGAAGGGTAAAGGGTTGTTTCAACCGGTTGAAGTCTCGGGTTAAGTGGGCTTACTTACACATTTTTTAATTATTATTTACACTGACGTGGTATGCTGATGGGGCGATATGGTACGGAGTTTTGGACGGAATTGGGCGGATTGACCATTTCGTTATCTGCTCAAACCTTTTTTTTTTTGCCGAAACGTGCAAAATTAAAGGATTGTGACAATTTTGTACAAAGTGAATAGGTTTGTGACCATTTATGATAACTACCCTTGTATGCATAATCATCTAGATAATACTGTCTAAACAATATTTTTAATTACTTGCTTTAGTAGGATATAATTCGACCAAGGGACCCTCACCCATTGCTTTTTCTTTTATTTGCATTGTTATCTCATGCATATGTTATTAGTTTTGAGTAATTATTATCAAAAGACCTAGTGGAATACAATCCCAGTTCATCTAGAATTTTATTACTTGCATTTCATTATACTAGAGTTGTCAGGTTTTCACGCCATTGTCAGGGATTTTTATAGTATTTCAAAGAAGCTAACCTCTTGTGTTTGATTTTTTATAAAAGAAAAAAAAATATGATGCTCTAGTTGGTTTTGTTTTGCAACCCTCAAACTCGGCGAACGCACTACAGATCCTACAAGGATGTGATACCAAAAAGAGGGAGCATCGCTTGCAGAAAGATGGGTATCCTATCTCCGTTTGAGTACTTTAGGCTAAAAGCATTAAAGCTCGAAGCAAGCAACATCAAACAAGCATCAAGCGTCAAGAAAAGGCCTCCACTCAATATACAACCACTTACCATAGAGTTTCATTTCATATGGGTAGATGAAGAAGAAGATCTTGACTAAACGAAGCTATTTAATGAGACATGTGGAGATAATCCAACTATGGAAGAGATGCAGCTCGCTATCGATGCAATCGTTGAAGAGGCCAATCAAAGATCGATCTAGAGAACCTCATAAGAGCATCAACACTATCATTAATGACGAAGGACAAAATCAAATGCTAGAGGATGTTCAAAGCATCAAGGGTCATCTAGAAGCCGATAAAGGACGTCCAATGAGATGCACAAAGGATTTGGAGAGATTGTAGACCATGAAGAGCTCTTAGACCCTGGAGAGGAAGGTCATCTGAAGGCCATCCCATTTGAAGAGGAAGAAGATGAGCTTACAACTCAATCTTCAGAATGAGAAGAAGGTGCAATGAATGGAAAAGGTTGCGATACTGAAGAATATACACTAATCCAAACTTTCTTGGATTCGTAGGAAGATTTTGAAGGCATCTCACTAGTTGATGGTTTCCAACATTTCCTAAGTCTTCTTCAATATTCATCCTCAAGCAATTCACCTACCGGTACATTCTACACCACTGGAAATGTCCAAGAGTAAGTAACTGAATGTGATGACCCCACCTATGCCTCTTAGTCAAAATCTACCACAACCCTTGAAAACTATAAACCTTGACCAAGAGGGAGTAGAGATGGAGACTTCATTCAAGAATGGTCAACCTCAAGTGGAGCATAAGGACGAGGAGAAAATAGAGGAGAAACCTTCTCTACCTATCCAGTTAAAGAAAGAGCTGCAAGAGGAGCCACCAATTCAATATGTTGAGGATTAGACCAACATGACATTCAACAATGGAAGGGATCATGATTCCACCATCACCCAAGAGATCGTGGAGGAGTTCATTGAATTGCTTTTACTAAAAATCCAATAAGTGGCCTAGAGAAACCACAAATTGGGAAGTAGTATAGTGGTGTAAAGTCTTAATTTATCAACCTGGGGGTGCTAGTTCTTAGTTAGGTCAACATTGATTATTACCTAGTTTGTTAAACTTGATCTTTTTATTGCGGAGAATTCAAAGTTAGTTTGAAATATCGACTAAAGCATTCCAAACCCTCATGATTAAAAAAACCCGGAGGGACACTATACTCCACCAAAATGCAATATCAAGGCAATATGGTGAAATTCCCTCTTTCGGAAGATAATCCACTACAAAGTAGTGCATCAACTCACTATTCACACAATTGATTCACTACCCCCCAATTGAAGGCACTTTATTGACTGTACATGGGCGCTGGGCCGTGCTTGGACCGGCATGACATGGGCACGCTTCGGGCCCATTTATTTCATGCAGTGCTTGGCACGGCCTGTCAGTTTTCGTGTCGTTCCATGCAAGTCCATTTGTTAACTTTGCTAGGCCCGGCCAAGGTTCGAATCGTGTCGTGCCCATTCGTGCTCGTGCCATGCTTGTATTCGTGTTTAATGAAAAGGACTAAAACAAAAGAGAATGAAAAAGAAGGTGTAAATTGGACGGAGGTAGATAGTATTAACCGATAATGTTTGATAAAAGTAATAAATAAGGGGGAAAAGAAAATTGGAAGTATAAGGAGTGTGATTTGTCTTTGTTTAATTCTTTATCCACTTTTACTTATGTTAGTAATTACTTATATATCTTTGTGTCACTTCTAACAACAACAAATAATTAGTTTCCTTCTTGTGTTTTATAATATTTGAACCTATAATTCTTTTTATATTTATTTTTTATCAAATAAATATTATTTTCTTGCCATGTCTCGAAAATATTAGGCCCGACACGACCCACTTATATACCGTGCCGTGCCAGTGCTCGAGCGCGTGCCCATGAAGTTTAGGCCCGGCACGGCCCATAAATTATTCGTGGTCATGCCGGGCTGGCCCATTTATTTCGTGCCTGTGCTCGTGCCGTGCTAGCCCATGGGCAGCACGGCCCGGTGCCCACATACACTATTAACCTACTTGAATATTCTCCCTCATAAATTAAAGTGATAATTGACGAATTTTATCAAGATTAAACAATTACGTGGATAAACTTCAATTGGATAGGTAATATCAAGTTTTACAAACCAAATAACAAACAATCGACCATAACACCTATCAAGGGTTCTACATACCCAAGTGATGGAGTGGAGTACTCCATAGAACAAGGAAAGAAAGTCATGGGCGACGTAGATGTGCTCATGAGGATGATCCGGATCTACTTCTTTGTTGTTGATCTTCACTATGAGGAACCAAATCCGAGCTCCAAAGGTGTTTCTCTGTCACTTTCTCTCTCTAAAAACTCTATTTTTTTCTATTTAGAAGTGTCCCCCTCTGACCTAGATCTGGAAATCTGCATTTATAGCATTAGCCAATCCATAAAGCTCTGGGCGAGTTTCCTGGCCGAGTTTATTGGTACAAGCCGAGTTTTTAGGAAAATCCACCTTCGGTCTAGTAAAACTCAGTCAATGCGAGCTTTTGTTGATGACCGAATTTTTCTACCGACTGGAGAAACTTGGGCGTTAGTGTGAGAAAACTCGGCCGAGTTTGTGCCGAATTTTTATATGTCGAGCGTTCAAGATTAAACTCGGCCGTTTCACCAGGAAACTCAGTCATGTTTCCTTCCTTGGGTGGCCCAGTTTCTTCCTTGGTCTCACAACTCGGCCAAGTTTGTTCGGTCATGGTAGGGTTTCTTCCTCTGATATTCAAATGACCTCTGAATGACCCGAAACTTGCATCTATACTTCCCTTTACTTGCTAGGACCTAAAATGTGGCAGAAGAACACAACCTAGCGTAAAATAGGCTTGAGAAGCAAGAAACCATGCACAAATGACTAAGAAATGAGGGAATAAATATGTGCAATAATGGTGTTATCAAATTCCCCCAAACTTAACTGTTGGCTTGTCACCAAGTAAACCATGTATAAAACAAGGTTGCCCTAAAAACAATTTCCTGAAAACAATTTCTAGTCAAACATCATAGGGGCAGATAAAATCAATGAATCACAAATGGCTATCGACAATGACACGTAAGCTATAACAAAGGCAATTCCAACAACCAACACAAATGACATTTGAGTGTAAAAAGCTTGTGGTAATGAAAACTCCCCATTCATTTTACAACACGATATGCAGCCTTGATGAATTACTCACTAGTCACCAGTTATTCAAGCATAGAATTCAGGTCACCTGAACAAGAAACCGAGCATTCTAGGTATTCTCCGGTATATATCAAATGGAAATGAATCACTCAACTCTCGATCTGTGGGGCCAGGACCATGATTTAGGCAAAAGGTGAACATGCAATTTCTCTCAAACCTAACATCTCTTCACCATGAAATCAGCTTCCCATCACTAACTTGTCGAGAGGACTTTAATTGGTTGTAGCCAGTTGGGGTCTAGGACATGGGAAATAAGTCTTTATGGTGGTGGAAAGTATTCAATGTTCAAGGTTACACAAAATCCAAAGCAAAACCATACACAACACGATTGTCTTCGCTTTTGCTTCTTATAAATGACTTAAGCACATGAGTATATGAGGTAATTTTCAAACTTTAGGAAGTTCATTGCAATTGTTCCAGAAACCGACTTGTTTACGTG